TCTGGCTTTTGCAGGTTTTACTGTAATAATGTAAGGTATATTTTGATATATGTAATTTATATTATGTGTTTAAGAAGCCAAATATACCTTAAAGTTTTAATTTCTGTAAAAAATAATTATAATGCATAAATATATAAATAAAACTATGTATAGAAACTAAAAACCAGTTGCTGTCGAGTTGATTCCTACTCATGGCGACCCCGGGTGTTGTACAGTAGAACCGCACTCCACAGGGTTTTTATGCAAAGGAAAGAAAGCGAAACTAATGTCCTACAGGATATCAGGTACAGAAGGGAAAGTAAATTAAAGAAGCAAAGATTTCCATATATTCTCCAGATACACATGGTACCATTACAGTAATTAAAATTAAATCTAAAAATTACCATTTCAAAAACTACAGAGATTTAATTTTCTACCTGTAGATTACTTTAACAGTCAGTGCGCTTAGGTGGCAAGTGACAGGGACACAATTCAAAAAAAAGTTTAGGTACCAAGGAAGATTTAATAGCTTACAGAATCTTAGGAAGGGTTGAACAATCAAACAGCAGAAAAGGCTGGAATGCAGCTGGAGCTTAGTAAAAGATGGAGTCAGGGACTAAAATAAAGCCAGTGAAGTGTACATATGTATATATTTATACATAGACAGATAGACAGGTAGAGAGAGAGAGAGAGATTTATATCAAGGATCCACAATCAATGTCCATGGAACCAGCAGTCAAGAAATCAAAGGACATAATACACTGAGCAAATCTGCTGCAAAATACCTCTTTAAAGTGTTAAAAAGCAAAGATGTCACTTTGAGGACTAAGGTGTGCCTGACCCAAGCCATGGAATTTTCAGTTGAATCATATGTATGCAAAAGCTGGACAATGAATAAGGAAGATTGAAGAAGAATTGACTCCTTTGAATTATGGTGCTGGCGAAGAATATTGAATATACCATGGACTTCCAGAAGAACAAATAAGTCTATCTTGGAAGAAGTACAGCCAGAGTGATCCTTGGAAGGGAGGATGGCAAGACTTTGTCTCATGTACTTTGGACATGTTATCAGGAGGGACCAGTGCCTGGAGTGGGACATGCTTGGTAAAGTAGAGGGTCAGCAAAAAAGAGGAAGACCCTCAAGGAGATGGACTGACACAGTGGCTGCAATAATGGGCTCACACATAGCAATGATTGTTAGGATGGTGCAGGACTGGGCAGTGTTCTGTTCTGTTGTACATAGAGTCACTACGAGTGGGAACTGACTTGATGGCATCTAACGACAACAACAACATATCAAGGAAATGGCTCACATGGTTGTAGAGGCTAGAAGTTCCAGGTTCGTGGGTGTGTCAGACTGGAGGCTTCTCCTGACTCAAGTAGCTGCAGGGGCTGATGAACCCAACCAAGATCAGCACGTCAGACAGCAGGCTGCTGGCTCTTGGGCTGCAGAAGTGGACAAGTCCATGATCGGCAGGTAAGAAGGCAGGCTGCTGGCTCAAATCCCAAGAACCGGAGGTCAGGTGATGACAAGCCAGATGCAGGACCCAGAGCAGAGCAAAAGCCAATGAGCTTTGCCAGAAAGTCCATATATATTGGATGCAGTTAAAACTCCCTTTTAACTGATTGGCTAATCATAGCAGATCTCATCATGGAAGTGATCGCATCATTACATAACTGCCGAACTATATCATAACTGCCAAACCACTGAGAATCATGGCCCAGCCATGGTGACACACAATCTTAACCATCATAGACAGCCACCTACAAGTTCTAAGGCCTCGTATCTCCAGCTTCCCAACATCAGAGAGAGCCTGAGCCTCCTTAGCTCCAGATGAGAAAGTCTCACCAAAGAACTCTGAATGGCCTGATCAACTCTGAATGAGAGATAAGGTTTGTAAGATTATGTTAAGTCCAACTTGAACTATGTGGTTGTGGTGGCCAGAAGACCAGTTTCCAGAGAGAATGCTGTCCTTAAAAGAAAAATAGGCATATTGGGTAGGCAAACAATAGGTATTTACTATTCTATAATACACAATTTAAGCAGCCCTGGTGGTGCAATGGTTAAGCACTCAGATGCTAAACAAAAGGTTGGCGGTTTGAACCCACCACTGGTTCCACAGGAGAAAGACCTGGCAATCTGCCTCCATAAAGATTACGGCCTTGGAAACCCTATGGGGCAGTTCTACTGTGTCACATGGGGCCACTATGAGTCAAAAATTGACTCAATGGCGCCCAACAACAATTAAAAAACCAAATCAGTTGCCATTGAGTCGATTCCGACTCATAGTGAAAAACAATATATTATTTAAAATCTTCATCACATTTCAATTTCTCCTATCTCGTTATGCCAAAACTATGTCTAAGCTGTAAAAGCCTTTTATAAGCAGCATATGATGGATTTGACAAAGACATTTTAGCAAACTAAAAACAATTGCTACGTTATCTCTTGCACATCTGTTTAGAAGTTCACACTACTTAAATGCCAATAAATTAAAAACTTGATTATGTATACAGCATCCCTAAAATGGCAAAGCCTCCAAAGTATTTCTGATCTCTGAATATGTATGGTAATTGCAAACAACTAGAGTCATATAAATTACAGATTGGAAATAGCTAAGTGTTTTGGAGATATTCATTAAAAAAATATATCTTTTAAATGTTAATCCAAGATGTAACAGCGCACCCATTTTCACTGAAAATGATAGGTTGTAGGGTGGGTCTGGGTGAGTAGACATATAGATAGATGCACACACAAGACTGGCAATATATGCCTCCAAAATTAACTGAGATTATATTTGGTAGTGGGATTGCAAATGCATTATTTTATTCTTATTTGTTCATTCTTAACTTTTTCTAGTGAGCATTTGTTACACTGATAACAAAAAAAATGAATATGATTTCTGTTTGTTTCGTTTGAGATGAAAAGCTTTTGTGAGTGTTCGGAAGTAGTATAGATATTAATCAAACATAGCAGCAAAGGCTGTGCTCCTAAAATAAATGTATATAAAATAATTTTTAATAGACTATGGCAGTATTAGGAGCGCCTTGACGAATCCTCTAGTAATTGAAATAATCACTCTCTAATTTGTATCTTTCTGAAGTTTGAGTTTTTACCTGGTAGATTTTCTCAAAGAGGGCTACACCTGTGTTCCACTCATAATCAAATGCATCCCAGGAAGAATCACGGCCTACCCTGTGAGATGCACATCCATCATGACTAAAATTCTGTAGGCAAGTTTGATTGTCAAAAGCTGGGTATTAAGGGGAAACTGGAAGCCATCATTAAGCATGTTTCCTGCAATTTGTTCTCTAAAATGCAGACCAGCCTGGTGAATAGCAAACAGGTCAAACATGAACAGTCCACATTTCTATCTCCTGCTCACAGACCTGCACCCCACACCAGGTCACATTTCTTTGACTGAGTCATCTGTTCTTCTAAGAAGCATAGGTGGGAGTGAATTTTTTAAATTTATGTTAAATTGGGAAAGGGGATACAGCTGATTTTAGATTGCTTAGCTCAAATTCAAAGAGCTGATCTGCCACTGACCTTGAATTATTACATCCAATAGTCATTAAGGCTGCAGGAAATTGGAAGGAAGCAAGCCCCCGCACTTTCCCCACCCATACTCCGAGATACCTAATCTCTAGGGACTGCACGAGTTCACTTAGTGTGTAAAAACAATTGCCCTTGTTTAGAACTTCATGGAGCACTTACTGCCAGCCCTGACTGAGCAATGATTCCTCCTTATCAGTCTGGTGGAGAGCACCTGATAAACACCTCCCTCTCATGCTACAGAAATAAATCTGCACCTCACACCAGAGAATCAATAACACATCAATGTTTTCAACTATCTTGTATGGGATTCCATTGTGTACTGTCCTGTTCACAGCTTAGAGTTCTCAATCACATCAATCTACTACAGCCATAACATAACCTGTAATACATCATTACTGCATGAACCAGTAGGCATATGCTGATGCTATCAACTCCAGACTAAGAAAAACCAAAGTGACAATGTTGTCCAAGGACAGCAGCTGCCGACAACGAGGAGAGAATACCTCAAAGGAAAAGCAATCACATAAACCCTGAAGTATTTTAAATATGTGGTAGATGAAGTGCAATAAATAACCATGAGGTAGTCATATTAGCTCTTTGTGGCTATCATTCACCTTCAGTTAGAAGAACAGGGTCCAGTAATAGGACTTTACTTTCAAGTGGGTGACAAGTGTTCAATATCTTCAAGAAACATTAAAAAAAAAAGACTCAAAGAAGCAGTACCAGTCTTTATAGTTTGCCATAATTTCAGCTAAACTCAAAAAAGACTGAGATTTGAGAGACATATTAACTCACAGACTTGTTTATCATTTTCCTGCAAAAATTAAACAGGTGACCATGCCCTGGAAATTACATAAATTTCGACATCCTTTTTATCATTAAATCAACCAACACAGTCGACTACTTACCCTTCCTTGCCTATATATTACCCATGAGTTTCCAGAAGAACTGTGAAAAAATGGAGAACGTATTCTCCCGTGCGAAGTTTCTGAATTCTATAAATAAGTTTTCAAATTTCGTTCAGGTTTCAGAGAAAAAAAGAGGACAGAAAAATATAAAAATCTAGTGATACATGTAAACCAGACTAGGAGCTGTCACAAATATAAAGAAACTCATGTCACTGAATGTAATAAACAGTTGGTGGAAACAAGAGAGAAGAACAGCAGTGTAGGGAGTTTGGGGGGTAGCAAAGCAGGGATCTGTTGCTCTAATACGTCTTGGGAAGCCCTACTAGCCTATCATTTTTTAAAAAAGAAATAAATGGACTAGCCCTCCAAGTAACGATGACATCACAATTTATTCTTCATCTGCTTTCCATGATACAATCTCAACCTCTTATGTTAGAGCTCTCTTAAAAATACTTTCCACTTGATTAAATGTGACACCCAGCAAACTGCAAGAAAAGCCTTCAGCACATCCTTAAACACAGAGAGATAAGATGTATTGTACAGGTTGATCTTACCGCAAAGCTTTGGGCCCAAAGTACATAAAGAGCTCCTTCCCCAAAGTCTCCACGCCACTGTAAGCATATCCATTAAACAGTCTCAAGAAATTCCGGCTGGAATCTTTATTATTACTCAGTGCAGCAGCCTAGTAAAAAATACATACACACACGTAAACATACACACAAACTCTAAACAAATTATAATTCAACTTCTAAATGTATTTATATTACTTCATGTCTAGGTGCATCCCAATGAGAAGAAGAATCTCCAACAAGTCAAGTAATGGAATCAGCTGTTTACATACATTTTGTCAAATTACTATGCAGTCATTCAAAAAGAGGGAGGCCAAAAAAGTTAAGTAAAAAAGTGACGATCAAAATGAATTTCTTCCAGGACCATACAGCTCTGCGCACAGGAAAAGAAAGCAGAGAACAATGTGAATGTTTTAAAACTAGAAACTGGAATATAGGGTCTTCCATTTCCAGAAGGATAGCCAGGTTCCCTGAAAGAACATTCTGATAAAAACAGTTAAAGAGGATAGATAAAATATGAAAAACAAAGTATTTGTAACTGCACTGATGAACTCCTAAGCAAGTGGGGACTAATAATACGTGAAAAACCAAGTGAAGGCGGGAGACAGCCCTGAGAGGCAGGCGGAGCCCTGACGCCAGCCTTCACCACCAAGGCATTTACTGCACCTCAGGCACGACGGCTTCAGTTTCAGGGTCTTGCGGGGCCTGGGGGGCCCGAGACAAAGCCTGAGTGCGCTTGAGTGGGGGAATCTAACAGGAGGCGTGCCCTCTCCTCCAACGTCAACAATCACGGAAAAATAAACCCACTACTCCTTTCTCCCGTCAGCCCTGGCGGCACAGTGGAAAAGAGCTATGACTGCTAACCCAAATCAGCAGTTCGAATCCACCAGCCTCTCCTTGGAAACCCTATGGGGCAGTTCTACTCTGTCCTATAGGGTCGCTATGAGTCGGAATCAACTCCATGGCAACGGATTTTTTTTAAACTCCTTTCTCCCATCAGCCATACAAAACCAACCAGTATATTGTTAGAACTAAAATATATGAGGCAAACACTCTAAAGAAAATCAAAGGAATTATAAACATAAAATATAAGTTCTTCTGTGGGAACTGGAAAGGAATGGGGTTGGGTTTCAATACTGGTAATGTTATTTTTCTTAAATCAGGCAGTATGTACACTGCCGTTCCTGGTATCATTATTTTTTATTCATTACATATGTTTTATAAACATTTAAATTTGCACTCAAATTTAATACAAAAATTAAACCTATTATAGATGCATAACTATTACATAAAAATGTAATAGGTACATATATTTACACATAATTAAGAATTAACTATTTAAGGTAGTATTCTCACATATCTCTAAGGTTTTATTTTTTCCTTTTTTACCGAATGGACTTAAAGATCCTGAGAAGATCCGGGAAGAAATCTTGGTGGGGCGGTAGAGTTTCAGGGAGATAATTATAGAATAACTTTTAGATATATGGCCGAGAAGCAAATCACAACTTTGGGTTTACAGAAATATGTCATTCTAAATGTTTACGATAACACATCCACTCTATTCTACTAAATTAGCCCTTCTTAAAAAGATACAGCCGAACTATCTATTTCAAAGGTAAAATAGGGAGAGAGTAAGAAAAAAAAAAAAAAAGATTGAGAACAGAGGCTACTCTTCCACTAAACCCATTCAAGGCTGTAATGGTTGCAGCCAATGCCAGAATTTTCCAGCTGTCTGAAGTTCAGGGAACCTTTACATGTCTCCCTTGCATAATCACTTCCGGAGAATCAATCACAGACTTAGAACAGCTGATAAATAAATGCACAGGAGTAATTAAAAATGACACTCTTCCAGTTCCGCACAATTCACAAAAGAAACCTGTGGGAGATTCTAGCATCAGGGAACTATAGGTGTGTACGCCACCAGGTCCTCAGTACATCTGCCTTTGATTTCTTTTCTCTTTCTTGAATGAACTCTAGGTCTATCAATGATTATCAGGCACTGGCAAGGCAGGCTTGAGTACTTAGAGAGGGAAGAACATACTTTTACATTTGTCTTGTTTTTAGGAAATGAATCCGTTAGAGCCCTGAATTGAGAAGCTCCAAGAGTTTTGACACTTTTCTGCCTAGCAAAGGACTTCAAGCCACTTACATACACTTCGAGCCAAGGGTTGATTCAGATAGGAGGTTTCAATGTAGGTTTCTACAGCAACCAATTAGTGTGTAAAAAGTTTTTATAAACTCGCCAGGATTCTTTTCTGAAGATGAGATACAGGGCACATATATTATCTGTTATGAGGAACCTTTGCCTCAACATACAGTTTGATCTTTTTAGGATCTCCAAGTTAAAGGTCTTATTAACATCTGTAATCTTAATTTTTAAATTGATGGATCCAAGCCTTGTTTCCCCATCACTCCAATGTCAACATTCTTTCCTAACAATTGGTTTTAATCAAGCCCTATGAAGTTCCTGGGGAGCCCTGGTGGCACAGTGGTTAAGTGCTCGGCTGCTAACTGAAATGTCACGTTTCAAACCTAGCCAGCCACTCCATGAGAAAAAGACCTGGCAATCTGCTCCCATAAAGGTTACAGCCAAGAAAACCCTATGGAGTAGTTCTACTCTGTCGAGCAGTTCTACTCTAGCACATGGGTCCGCTATGAGTCAAAATCGACTCCATGGCACCTAAAAACAACTGAAGTCCCTGGCTTCTGTTATCTTATTTCATACATACAGCCCTAAACACCTCTACTTCTTAGTTGGAAGGGAATTTGCTACTACTGCCATCTCAATGTCAGGAAAGGTGGGCATCAGGGTTGTATCCTTTCAACATACCTATTCAATCTGTATGCAGAGCAAATAATCAGAGAAGCTGGACTACATGAAGAAGAACGGGGCATCAAGATTGGAGGAGGACTCATTAACAACCTGCATTACACAGATGACACAACCTTGCTTGCTGAAAGTAAAGAGGACTTGAGACACTTACTGATGAAGATCAAAGACTACAGCCTTCAGTATGGATTACACCCCAACACAAAGAAAACAAAAATCCTCACAACTGGACCAATAAGCAACATCATGATAAACGGAGAAAAGACTGAACTTGTCAAGGATTTTATTTTACTTGGATCCTCAATTAACACCCATGGAAGCAGCAGCCAAGAAATCAAAAGATGCATCGCACTGGGCGAATCTGCTGTAAAAGACCTCTTTAAAGTGTTGAAAAGAAAAGATGTCA